TATTGATAACAAAAGATAAGCTGATTAAAGAAGCAAATGGAGGGTTTCGAGATTATATAAGATATGCAACAAGCAACAAGTTGTGAAGAGAAGTCCATACGGAAACATCCAGAAGACTATTCCCATAAATGGCAAAAGACATAAGACTGCACTATTACTGGAAAGACACAGTTTGATATATGAAAAATAATAAAAAATTAGTCAAATTTAGAGCATTAAAAGGAAATTGGATATAAATTTAAATAGTGATTAAGAAAGGAGGTCTAGAAACTTTGTTAGTAAATATAATCATTTTTTTATTTAGAACATGTCATAAAGATGTAATGCTACCGGATGATAATGGAATGATCATGATATGTGGATGATATGTGGTTTTTCTTTAAATTTTGGAATATTTTATATAAAAGGATGTTAAAACAATTATAGTCAAATGAAGGTTGAGGTATGATGATAGTAATATATATAAATACACTTGATTTAAAATATATAATTTGATATGAATTATAGGTGATGACTGTGGAAGGGATGCATGAAAGTTTTTTGTAACCAATTGGTTTTGTGTTTTGTGTTTTGTTTTGTGTTTTGTTTATCTGTTTATTCAAAAATAAACAATTCTTATATATAAAAAAAATTCTCAGGATTCTCTCAAAAGAAAGCAATCTGTTGGTGGTTGAAGGACTAAATTTTGAAAATTCATTGGAGTTGGAAGAGAGAGATACTGAACTCCACAGTAGGCAGGAGAACAACATTATGACTTTACTTATTCAAGGATATTAGGGCATTTCATGGAGATTAGGTTTACTTGTGGCTTATATTTGCCATGGTGGCGCAATGCAGGCTACTTCAGCTGACTGCTAGCTGCAGTTTGGCAGTTCAAATCTCACCGGCTCAAGGTTGACTCAGCTTTCCATCCTTCCGAGGTGGGTAAAATGAGGACCCAGATTGATGGGGACAATATGCTGACTCTGTAAATTTCTTAGAGAAGGCTGTAAAAGCACTATGAAGCGGTATATAAGTCTAAGTGTTAAGTGCTATATTTCATTTGGTTTTCTACCAAAAAATGACCCAAAAAAATATTTCCTCCATTTTTCAGCAGTTTTACTTGGTGACTTTTGTGGCTTTATGAACCTCATGCCAGTCACGGATTACCTACCCCTATTTTAATTGCACCAGAACCAACAAGACAAATTAACCGTGCCTAATTTAAGTCCTACTGTGTTAAATTAGTCTCCAATAGGCAAGAGTCTGAATCTATCTCAATGCAAAGTTAGCTTATTGTACTAGATTTGTGTAAGATACTTTACGTCAGATCACAACAGAAAACTATGTATGTCTGTCATACTCCTTGTATAGCTTTACTTCCTTTGCTTATGAGATCTGAGAGGAGTAGAAGAGATGCAGAATTCTTTCTCAGGGCAGCTGAAGGTCAAAGAACATCATCCTGGGTGTCATTTACCTTGCTAAAATGAGACCCTGCTTGTTCAGCAATGTAAAGCATATTCAGAGAACAATTTGGATTTTAATGTCCCAGCAGGAGCAAAGTGTTAAAATCCCTTTAATTATCTAGGTTGGGAACTGCATCAGAATTGAATCATCTGCTCTTTTTCTAAAACAGCCTCTCCTCCAAATATTTTGGCATTGTAACTCCAGAAGACCCGGCTATTCTGATCATTGGCCTTCAGGGCTGGAAATTCTGGGTTTTAATTTCATTAATTGGGGGGGGGGGGAGACTTTTATTGAATTATAATTCCTAATTCCATTAGGTCAGTACTATAGGCTTAATTCTGAAGACAATGGAAACCTTTCTCTGCTCCCACCCTCCCCGCGCGTGCGCGCACAAACACACACACATACACACTGTTGCCCCTGGCATCAAAACACTCACTGAGGTAAAGGCTCATACAGAGGAAGATGATGAGGCCGAACCAGCCGCTGAAGGTAATGGTGAAATACACAATAGCAATTATAATATCAGCCACCGTGGGTAGGATGCTGAATACGATGTAACTGTAGGATGAGAAGGTGGGAAACTAAGATCACACAGTGTACAAGGGGCCCCTTCCAAAACTCCTCCCCCCACCATGGGGTGAGAAGGAGAAGAGCTGACTGCAGGAATCCCCGCCAGCTGTTGAACACTGACGGATTTCCACCAATCAGACATACACTCATACCTTACCTGAGTAAGTTGTTGATGCTGCTAGTACCTCGGTCAACACTGCGTAACACCTCGCCTGTCTTGCGCTCCAAGTGCCAGCGAAGGGACAGGTTATGGAGATGCCGGAGGAGCTCTACCTGGACTTCGCGGCTGGTGAACTGCTGCACGCGGATCCACAGAAAGTTGCGCATGTTGCTAATGAAGCCAGTTGTTCCTATAGCAAGCACATGTATTTTTTCTTTCAATGCATGCACTTTTGATTCAGCTGAAAACCTGATTGCACTCCCAATACTTTGAACAGGAAGAATTCTTCCCTAATCTGGGGCTGTCAGAAACACTAGATTTCAATTGCTCAGAATCCCCAACCCATTTGGCCAAGTCTTGCATCAGTCTTGTAATTCTCCAGCCATCGTGATCCATTTATATTTTCCCCACAAATTGTTTTAGCTACACAATGACAATAAAGGCTATACTACTGAGCGCGCAAGGGTTTAAAGCTTCCAAGCGTGCAGGTTTAAATAGGGTGGGGAGGCACACATCTCATGACCGCAATCTGTGATTATATTCCTATATTATATAGGAAAAGGAAGTAGAAGAAATGATTCTGTCCCAAAGCTGTTTGCCTCCACTTCAACAGCTTCCATTTCAAAAATTCAGTTATGCCGTAAAGCTGAGCTAGTACATTTCTTGAAGTGCACAAAGGTAATCAATGAAATGTCATACAGATGTTAAAGTGGAGGACAGGCATCCCATAGCAACTCAGCCAGTCACATGCAGCTTATAACTTTCACACAATAACTTACCTGCTCCTCCTCCCTGAAGGAACTTCAGGAATGCGTAGATGCAAATGGTCTGAAGCACTATCTGCCAAGTCTCTCTCTCTGTGAGGTCATCCACTAGAGGGTAGGAGGACAACAGTTAACCCCAAAGTCACAATCCTTTAACCTGACTTATTCACCTGTCCTCTGCCAATCCCCTGCATATACCTTTTGGCCATTATTCATAGATCAATTGCTATGATTGCTCCTCATTGCTTTCTTTTGCATGCATAAAGTCACAGTTAGAAAAACTGCTTGGCAATGATGGGAGTAATAGTTCAACACATTTGTAGGGTGCCAGGTTGCTAGTAGTTTGTGACTCAGGATTTCTGCCCTGCATTCAGTATGAGGTTTCCCACCAACACTCCTTGGAATCCCCAACAATACCCTGGGAGGGAGGGGTGAGAGGTGGGGAAGCTGAGAACGGAGCAGAAAAAAGAAATTCCGTGTTACATACACAACTCATGCCAGCATATTTTGCTCTGCTCCTTCTATCCTATCCTCCAGCACGTTCTAATTTCAAACTAGGCAGAATCATAGTGGGGCCGGTCTCGGGCAATAAATCTCAAAACTGAGATGCTATGCCATCCAGCTTATGTCATAGCATGGCATCCTGGCCTGAGCAGTTCCAGAGTAGACTGGCCTTACTAGATCAAGAGGAAGCAGGGTTAAAATCAGAACTACCCAGCAGTGCTCTACTAATGAATCTCTTCTGATAGGACAAATCTCTCTTGCGGAAAGAAAGGGTAACTACAATCGGGGAAGCTTAGGAGGTGTTCTGTCAAGCTAGGATCTAAGAGAAGCCACCTAGATGAAGCTTGATGTGGGAAAGAGACATTCATCATCAGCCATGGATGGTTAATAGGCAGGAAACAGCTTGATGAGTATCAAGTGGCCTCCTACTGGGAGCTCTTCACCTTTATCCCAGCATCCTATCCCCAAATTGCTTTGAATTCAAAGCAGCCTATTTTCCCCCCCCCTTCATCCTCTTACCCATGTGTAAAGATCTTCAAAGAGGCCTTTCTTCCAGTATTGGTATGGGAAATAAATATATTATGTTCTGACAAAAAGAAAACAGTGGGAGGGGCCTTCTCCGTGGTAGTGCCCAATTTTAAAGCTTTTCTTGAATGAAATATAGTCTGCAGCCTCCTCTTTTCTCTTTTGGCACCCCTATCAAAACACTGCCTGTTTTAAACCTTTGAATCTCCGTCTGACTGCTGAGAAACGTTGGAGTCATTTTAGGTACCGCTGCCTTGAGATCCCCTGGGAGCAGGGAACGCTTTCCCCTCTTGGATTCATCTTCCACACCTGAACAGGCAGCCCAGAACTAAAGTGCCATTCTGGGTCAGATCCTGCTCTCCCCGTGTGGATTCTCCTTCAGCAGTCACCAGGAGAGGGGTTTTCCGAATGTCTCCTCAGGCTCATCCAGCCAGAGAGCCTCCAGTGGAATCTCCTTGCTGCCTTTGTTCCCCCTTTCAAGGAACCGCACATCAACAAAGATCCCACTCCCAACCCCCTGCTAGGCTGCTGGGAGACACAAAGGCCCCTTGTTTGTTTGCCGCCAGCGGCACTTTGCTGGGTAATCCTAACTGGCAGGGTGGGTGACCCCCATCTGGCAATGCCCCTCTTTTGCCTTTCAATCCTTCCACATGGTGGGAAGAGGGGATCAGGAAGAGACTTCTCCTCCCATCCACCCACCCACCCACCCCCATTTCCATTTTATTTTATTCTGCACATGGTAGGTGATGCTAAAACCATCCAGTTCCCAAACAAAGGTACAAAGTATACTATTTTACATAGAGAAAATGGCAAACACTGGGAGGGATGGTGGGGGAGATGGCGGGCAAGTGACCTCGAAGGAATATGTGTCACTGATTTTTTTTAAAACTAAGAGGGTCGTTCCACTTTTTTTTTTTAGCATGAAGAACCAAGGCTGGGTAACAGTGAGTGTCCCAAAGCCATAAAGTGTGAAGCAACACAGTTCAGGCCAGATTTCCTTGGGTAAATTTCAGATTCACATTTCAACTCTCCATGTCTCTCCAACTTCTGTCCACCTCATGATGTGGCACAAAAGTACGTGCCAAATTTGAACCTTAGAAATAAGAGACGTTCGATAGGGAAAAAGATTTGATAGACCCGTCATCCAGGCAGAGGGTTTAATTGTCCTGCACCACGTGTAACCCTCATGTGTTTCTCCACCAAAATACTGAATGGGAAACTGGTGGTGCTCTAACTTCCACATGACAAGTGTCTCTCTCTCAACACATTTCAATCCAGGGACATAATGCACAACGCATTACATTAAAAATAGTCATTAAATAACAAAGCAGAGAAAACAATTCAATGGAGGACTAACATATTTACAGGAGACCTACAAAGAAATAAAATTTAAATGTAGAATTAAGAATTTGTAAGTACCCAGAATGTAATCAATGTACTAAACCTGATAACTCTAGGAAGAGCCTCACACCAGAAATTCAAAAGTTGATATCACTCCAGAGCTTTAGGTATACAATGGAGCAATTCGGAAGGATCATTAATTAAGTCCATCATTGGTACATAATTTTGAGTCATTGAGTCATGATTTAAATGTATGTCAAATATATTTGTGTTATTGGGATTACTATTTCTTTGAGGGATTTTGTATTATATACCACCATATGGTATATGTTGAATCTAGTGGTATAAAACTGAAGAAATGAAATAATAATACTATTCATGTCACTGTAATCCCACCTAAATTATAGATTACAGAATTATAGATTACTAATAGTTTACTAATCATAGACTGATATAGAATTAATCTACAAACAAAGCATTTACCAAACTCATTCCCCTGTTTTGTAAATGTTTAAGAACCAAGATCCTTAATTCTATTCCTGAAAACTGATAGGCAGCTGAATTCCCTCCCCTCCTCCCACCTATCCACAATCGTAGTACAAGTGAGTCAAAAGAAACAGATAACTACATGGGAATTAGGTGTATACGTGGAGGGTGCTGGTGGCTGCTGGTGGCTGCTAGCCTCATGAGTTGAAAGCACAAAAGTTTCTACGAAAAACTGTGGATCAACACACACATGGGCTACCCATAGTCCTTGGTCACTCTATGCATAGTCCATAATTATCCAGCTCATCTTCACCTCCCAGCTGAATAGGCTGCTATTTTGCATCAGTATAGATTTGGGAGTCACATCCCACCTAGTTGGATGGAAAGGTCTTCAGGGAACTTTGAGAAGCACTGTTAATTCCCAACACCCTGCTAATGGATACCGATGTGGTGTGCATCGCATCAGAATTGTGACATTCATTATGGATAAACACTGTCACTGGCAGTGTATTTTATGAAATATTGCTCTCCCCCCCTCCCACTTTACTACAGCTTCAAGTAGAACACCGTAAGCAACAGCAAGACTGTTAAGAAAATGGGACGAGGCTGAAGTGACCTGCTCAAGAGCACCATTCCCTTTTCCACCCTTCCTATTTGCACATGTGTGTGAGCAATTAAACAAGTATACTGGCCATGGACAGTCTAATAGTTTTATCACTAAAGCATGCCCATCATTTCCTGTTGGCAAAGGTAAATTGCTGGCTTGACTCAGCAGGGATAATAACCATATTCGTAAGCCCATTGCTGGAGCTTTAGAATACAGGTTGTCCTCGATTTACAACATTTAGTGACATTCGAAGCTACAGTAGCATTGGAAAAAGTGGGTTTAATTGGTTTTCACACTTACAACCGTTGCATCATCCCCATGGCCCACGTGATAAAAGTTCAGATTCTGCGCAACTGGCTTATATTGATGATGATTGCAGTGCTCTTAAGTCATGTGATCACCTTTTGCGACCTCTGACAAGCAAAGTCAAAGGGGAAGCCAGATTCACTTAACAACTGTGTTACTAACTTAACAGCTGCAATGATTCACTTAACTACTGTTGTAAAAATGGGGCAAAATTCACCTAACAACTGTCTTGCGTAGCAACAGTTAGGCTCAACTGAGGTCATATGTCGAGGACTCCCTGTACCAGACTGCTGCATTCAGACGAAGCATGGGCACAGGATCTGGTTAAAATCTGCAGAGCAGAGCCTCTTGCAGGTGGGCCTGAGGAAGACAGTGTCCCTGCCTTGAAGCTACTTAGCATGTAGGACAGAGCTGCTCTGCTCCCAGATGCCTTCTCATCCAGCCATTTTGTATGCCGTTTACAGTTCCATGCCTCCCGCCTACAGGGATTCTTTTGTAAAGTCTAAAAGTCAGGGCTGAAAGGCAGGTCTAGAGTCCATCCCCTCTATTCAAATACCTCTCAATAGCTGCCCTGAATTGGCACTCACAGTGCCCACCAGGGCATGGGAACCTGGCAAACACCAACAGTTTCTACTAACAAAGAGCTAGCATTCCTCTCAGAAATTCAACAGAGAGTTAGTCTAGAAGCATGCAGGATGGGAGGTTATAGTGGGGGCTCAGGATTCAAGATCTGGTGAGAGAATAGGGAGAGGTGTTCGGGAGAATTTAAAAAGCTACTGAATTCACATCTTCCCAGTCAAAAACACTAGCTTGATCCCCCTTCCTATAAAATCTATTTCCTGTCATGACCCAAGTTATCTGCTGTAATTTTGCAGGTCAAGATGCAATTTTCCACCTAGAGTCCAAAAAGTACACAAGATGGAGATGTTGGAGATGGAAGAAGGGCAGGGAGGTGGGCAGAGAAAGTGGGAATAAGACAAGAGGAGTTGGGGAAGTGCAAGATGAAGCCACAGTTTTTACCAAGAAAGGACTTCCCTGAAGGGATGAGTCTTGATGAAGAACACAGAAGAGATGGATGACAATTTTTTAGGTGTTTTCTGGATGACATGAAAATGAAGTGGCAGAAATATCAAGAATACATTTGCTGATAGGAGTGCATTCACTGTCTAATACCGTGTTTCCCCGAAAATAAGACAGGGTCTTATTTTGTTTTGACCCCCTGAATAAACGCTTGGCCTTATTTCCGGGAAGGTCATTATTTTTGAGGTGCAGGAGGTGGCCAGTGTGGTCATCTCATGGCTGCTGCTGTGTTGCAATTCTTTTGGGGGAGGGATTATTTTAGCGCATGCGCTCAAAAGCCCGATTGGGCTTATTATCTGGGGAGGGCTTATTTTTTGGGAAACAGGGTAGGTGTGGTATTAAATTGTCTCTCTCATCTGCTATTTTTCAACACGAAGGGTACTTTTGATCATATAAAGGAGCCCTCGGATCTGATTTTCCCCTCTCAAATCTGCAATGCCAAGTAGTACAGCTCAGCGCTTTGCTATCCCAATCCATTGCATCACTTTTTGCAGATGTATGGAGGTGCCTCTAAAGGACAAGAGGAATATGTCCTGACGCATGTAAAGCTCTTTCCCACCACCTATATGTGTCAAGCATTTTGCTGGCAGTCACTCGGGAGAGTGAAGTTGGTTAAGAGCCTCGTCAAACATTGCTTTGCAATCCGTGCTTAAAACAAGTGCTTGTTAAGGGTTCACAACCTGAAGAGCTTCCAGGTGGCTAGGACTCACTGAAACAAATATTTGTAATTATCAGAAATTTAACAGCTAATACCAAGTAACTTAGCTGGGTCCGTTGTGCTTGACCCTTTCTATGAAAATATTCTGCATTCTGTAAGCAGTTGTTTAAGGGCACCCTCTGCTGGCTAATTTGGAGCACTAAGTAAAATAGAGGGCATTTCATACCACTGTCATTCTCCCTGAGAGTATTTGCAAAACTCTCCCAGACACAGAAAAAACAACCCACAAGTTTGGAGAACACACCTTCATTCCCTATGGCATAATGCAGGGGTGAGCAACCTGAAACCTGTTCCTCTTTGATCCTTTCCTGATTATATCACTGAGTTTGAGTTTCTTATTATTTTGACCAGTGGGTGGGAATCAATTTTTTTTACTACCGGTTCTGTGGGTGTGGCTTGGTGGGTATGGCTTGGTGGGCGTGGCTTGGTGGGCGTGGCAGGGGAAGGATATTGTAAAATATCCATTCCCTCCCCACTCCAGGGGAAGATTATTGCAAAATCCCAATTTCTTCCCGATCAGATGGGACTCGGGAGGCAGAGAATAGATGGGGGGGGGGGCAATCAGAGGTGGTATTACCGGTTCTCAAAATTTCTGCTACTGGTTCCTCAGAACTGGTCAGAACCTGCTGAAAACCACCTCTGACTATGACATGGGAACAGACCAGACCAGAAGGATAAATTGAAAATAGGCTTAGCATCATTATAAAACACAATGAAGAAAACTCTATGTACCCCCTCTAGAAAATAATAATCCCAATTTGCCAATGTGGGTCACACAGCTCCTCTCGTTTTGTACCACTAACCCACTCACTATATCTCTTAAATCAGGGTTTTTTCAATCTCAGCAAATTTAAGATGTGTGGATGTCAGCTCCCAGAATTCCCTAGTCAATGCTTAAAGTTGCTAAGATTGAGAAACACTGCATTAAACCTTTCCATACATCATTGTGCAATTCCTGCTTTACCAAAAGTTTGATCATCCCTGCTCTAGGAAGCAGCACTATGCCCGCCTGCAAGTCTCCCATTCTTCTTACCGATATGCTTGTAGTAGATGGGCACAAAGACATTGATGGCACGCTCCATTCCCATAAGCATCAGGCAGAATATCACCATGCCCTGAAGTGCGTAGTTCTTCTTTGGCCACATGTATTGTATAAGGAGGAGTATTTTCTTGCCCATATCCTTCCATGTTGAGGTGTTCTGCCTGGCATCTGGAAGCAGGGGCTAAAATAAGGAAGAGAAAAGAAGTAAATGGGAAGGGAGGAGATTTGGGGCAGGTTTGCTGGAAATATTTTAGAAGGTTGGCCCTTTTTCAGTAAGGCAGAAACAAGAATTGACAGGTAACAAAAGAAAAGGACTTGAAAGGATAACCATCCCAGGCTCTCTTTAGATAGTAAGATAGGCAGTATATAAATATAAATAAATAAGGAAAACATAGACTTTTCTCATTAAAAGGCATAGAAAATAGCCTTTCCCATCCTGGTACACTCTTCAGAATGCCAAAGCTGCACTCTCAAAATCCTAGGCCACAATCTTGGTCATTTGGAACAGAATTCTGGGAAAGATGTCCTCAACTTACGTAATACTAGGGAAAGAAGAAATTAGGAATCAAACAATCCAATGACTTTTCAGGTATCTCATTTCAGGGGAAGAAAACAACCTAGGAAAATATAATTAGAAAGAGTCGAGAGGGCAAAGCTTTTATCCAGAGTCATGTTCATGAACACTGCTAACTAATAAATTAAAATACCGGTACATATAAGCAGGAAATGAGTTACAATAAGCCATGGGTTCAGAGGCTCCTCTTTTTGTTCCTTCTTCCTAGGCAGCCAAGGAGACCACCAGCCCCAATTCATTGTCTGGCCTAGAATTGTGGTTGCAATAAGCCCTACTTGGTTTGAATAGTTCAACTTTAAAATAAAGTAAGTTATTTGACACTAACCTTAGCTTAATCTTTAATAATTTGCTACTGCGAAAGACACAACAATCCATGAGTGTCTAAAAGCAGAGGCTTCTAAATATCTACCGTATTTCCAGTTGGGGGGAGTTGGCATGTGAGCTTAAAGTTAATGAAATTTTCTTCCCTGTCTGTATCATAGTGTAGTGGAAAAGTAGATAACGGTTTGTAGGTCAGGAGATGCAACACAGCTTTTATGAGTCCAAGGGCTGCAGTGGGGAGGTATATAATGCAAATAAGCAGGATTAGCTTTTTCCTTGTTTCTGGAGACAATTTTTCTTGTAATTGGGTTATTTTAAAACTACCTTAACACCTATTATTACAGGGCTTACACTACAGCTTTTCCACATGCTTCCCTTTGGCCACAGACTGACTGTTCCTCCTTTGATGTCATAGCCAAACATAGCTTTTGACTATAGTTATTTCCAGATCTGACGGTATGAGGTGGAATCCTTCCTAATCCTGGGAAAGGTTGTAGCCCAGTGGAAATTGTCACTTTATGCAGAAGGTCCCAAGCTAAATATAATATCTCCAGATAGTTAGAACAGACTCTGACCTGAAATCCTGGTGAATTGTTGCCAGTTAGTCTACAGTATGTGAACTAGATTGACCAATGGTTTACTTTGGTATAGTAGCTTTCTGTGTTTCCATTGTACTTGGACTCTAATCATTTATCTTTCTCAAGTCATTCTTCAAATGAAACATGGGAATATCTGATCCCTAGTATACCAGCTGTACTTTCACATGTACACATATCAACATATTTGATAGTAAACACCCACACTTCATCTGCTTTATTTCTAAATATATAAACATTTAAAGATTAGTTATGAGTAATAGATTTATTATGCCATTAAAGCCTCAAAGTATTTCAAAACTTGCTATATTCATGATGATATACCACATTTATTTTCAAAGTTTTGTTGCAACAAATACGGTACATCTATCCCACTGAGGTTTTAAAAGTGCACTTTTATACATTAGGAATCATAGAATCATAGAGCTGAAAGTGGCCTTGGAGGTCTTCCAGTCCACTGCCCAAGGCAGGAGACCTTATACCATACTAGGCAAATGGTTGTCCAATCTTTTCTTGAAAACCTCAAGCGAATATAGCAGCACAACTCTGGAGGCAAGCTGTTCCACTGATTAGTCATTTTCACCGTCAGGGAATTCCTCCTTATATCCATATTGGATCTCCCTTTGATGAGCTTCTATCCATTGCTTCTTGTCCTGTCTTCAGGGCCTACAGAGAATAAATTAACCCCCTCTTCCCTGTGACACCTCTTCAAGTATTGGAAGACAATTGTTAAGTTTCCTCCCAAGCCTTTTCTTCATTAGGTTACACATACCTAGTTCCCTTAGCCATTCATCATGCAATTTAGCTTCCAGAACAGAGGTGGGTTGCTATTGGTTTGCACTGGTTCAGGCAAACTGGTAGTGTTATTTCGGCCTTGGTCACAGAACCAGCAGCAACCCAGTCTGGCCATGCCCCCGAACCGGTTCCCTGGTTGCTGCTGCCGGCATGTTTTTTAGTAATTTTTTCATGTTCTGTGCATGAGCAGAACAATTTAGTGTCAACTGTGCATGCACGTGCAGAGAACTGGCAGTAACCCACCCCTGTTCCAGACCCCTTATCATCTTTGTTGTCTTCTCTGCATTCTTTCTAGGGCCTCAGCATCTTTTTTGCATCATGGTGACCAGAACTGGGTGCAGTATTCCAAGGGTGGCCTCACTAGTGCAGTACTATCACTTCCTGTGACCTTGATGCTATCCCT